TGTCCACGTCAATTGCATGCTCCACATCATGCCTGACTGCGGCCATTTCGACATCCTGCTTGCCCTTCTCTTTGACATCTGGCTTCACCTTCTTCACCTGCGGCTTCTTTGACCTCGCTTTCTTCCTCACGATCTTCACTTGGGCATCTCCCCCGGAGACTGTGGCCGTTTCAAGATCCTGCAACCCCTTTTGGATCTCGTCTTCAACCTCACTGTCGGTGTCCTTTTTCTTGGTTACTGCATATGTGCAGGTCGTCTTACCCGTACTGCAGGTGAAGCAGGATCCTTGTTGTGGGGGGGAACGGATAGCGCATGGAACAATGTCTCAATCTTGGCGTTTGCTGCAGGCCTCACAGGGGATATCCGCAAGCTGATAATTGCCTTTCGCAATCGCGGCATTCTGATTTGCAAGACGTTCGGCAGTTTTGGCTTGCCTTAAAGCGGCCATGGCGGTCTTGGGAGGACCGGCGTCGGGGTCTAACTTGGGCCTTCGGATGAGACTGAAGCCGGCACTGGGTGTCATGCGGGAGAAATGGGGCTGGGACTTGGGTTTAACCGCCTTTGCTTCCCCACCAACCGGTCGAAGTGACTCCGACTTCGGCTTCAATGTTTCCTCATCACTGCTGCTGTTGATGAACTCTGCGCTCACGACTCTGGTCTTCTTTGGCCTGGCTTCGATCAAGTCCCCTTTTCTTTTTTTGCTTTGGACTGGGGCAGCGGTGTCGTTAGGAGTCACCTCTGATTGTGGCTGGGTGCTGGACCTGGCCTCGGGTTTCCTTTGCCCAGACTTCGTCTTACTCTTGGTCTTCGTTTCAGCCGCTGGCACAGGATCGGTTGATTTTGCCCGACGCGTTGGTTTTGTTGGGGCCGGGAGCGATGATGAAGCTGTCGGTACCGGCAATGGGGGAGTTGGGACTGTGACTGGGAGCAATGAATCGGTCGAAGATGGAGGTAAAGGGGGAGAGGGACCGGCATAACCTTCCATAAAGAAGGTAGGGGTGGTGGGTTGTGGGATCGAGAACATTTTGGTCCAATCAACCGATGGTCCCGCTCGGGCCATTTCCGTGTACGCCAAAATCCAAGGGTGGTTGAGCCACTGGGCCACGTTATACCACATATTCTTGTCGATGAGCAAACGTACAAATCGTTCCTGTAGGAGAAAGAGATCCAATTTGAGTCAACAAATCATTGTTAGTTACTCACAGCTTTCCCGTATGCATCCTCTTCCACCGTCCGTTGGTGGGCCAGAAGACCTTCCCTGTGACGGTTGTAAAAGTTCAAAAGCGTGGAGGTGGCCACCCTAACATCCTCC